CACGGGTCTCAGACCAAACAAACCACTCCCCTGCACAGAGGACTCTGAACCATTTTTATGTCTTGGACCCCTGTCTGACAGTCTGGTGCAGCGTACGGACTCTCTCAGAATTATGTTTTTAAATGTATAAATCAAAATACGAATAAGATATAAAGGAAACCAGTTATAAGACAGTTATCAAAATATTAAATAGCAAACAAATTCACTGCCACAGGTTAAGAGCCTGTGTTCCAGCATGAGCATAACTGCATAGCAGAGACATCTTTCTAAAGAGGAACTTGAGCAGGGTCAGTCTTTTCTTCTTCATTGTCACATCCATTACCACCACCACCACCACCATCATTACCATCATCATCACCATCATCACCATCATCACCACCATCATCATCATCACCACCACCACCACCATCATCATCATCACCATCATCATCATCATCCTTGTACAATTGTCAGCATCCTCACAAAAGGGCCCCCTCCCCTCTGCCACTGGAGCGCCCTACCTTCCCACCTCTCAGCCTTTCTGGGTTGTCTGAATGAAATGGACATCACCAGCTCCACTCTTTCTAATGAGATTGAGGACCACAGCCCTTTCCATCCTGCACTCCTCCAGCATCTGAACAAGAACCTCTGGCACTTTCATCTGCCCTGCATCAGAACTTTCTTTTAGATGTTGTCTCTGCCTGATTAGATTGTGAGCTCCTTGAGAGCAGACTGGTTTTTTTCTATTTGTATTCCTACAACTTAGCACAGTACTTGGTGCATAGAAAACTCTAAACAAATGCTTTTCAATCCATTCATCACCACCAACATCACCCTTCTCCTCCTTCTCAGTATCACCATCCTCTTTCTGATTTCTATGTTATTTCTATGATTCACAAAGTACTTTCCTTACAATGACCCAGTGAAGTTGAAAGTGCACATTATCATTCCCATTTTATAGATGTGCAAACTGAGGCTCAGAACAAATGAGTGAATTTCCCATGAACCTATTCTCATACGTGATGCAATATAAATATATAGATTTATAGGTTGAAAGGGACCCCAGGGGTCCTCTAGCCTAATCTCCTGCCTGGTACATAAAGTCCTTCTACTGCTGACAGGTGATTTAGTCTTTTTGGGAACATTTTCAGTGACAACGAGCCTCTTACTTTGCTTAGCCAGGCAATGCCTATTTTCTTTTTAGGCAATTGGGGTTCAGTGACTTGCCTAGGGTCACACAGCTAGTAAGTGTCAAGTGTTTGGTCTGAGGCTGGATTTGAACTCAGGTCCTCCTTACTCCAGGGCTGGTGCTCTATCTACTGTGCCACCTAGCTGCCCCAAAAGTAATTTTTTTTAAATGTTTGGTAGAATTCACTTGTGAATCCATCTGATCTTGGTAATTTTGGGGGGGACAAGGCAATTGGAGTTAAGTGACTTGCCCAGGGTCACACAGCTAGTATCATGTGTCTGAGGTCAGATTTGAACTCATGACCTCCTGACTCCAGGGCTGGTGCTCTATCCACTGTGCCACCTAGCTGCCCCTAGGCCTTTTTTGAGTGAATTGCTCTGATCCTGATAATAGCTGCTGTGTTCCCCTAATTTTTCTCTTCCCTGGCCAAGCATGGCCAGGTCTTTTAGCTCCTCCTCCACATGTGGCCAGTTCTTTGGCCCCTCACTGCTAGCCTGCCTCTGAGCACTCCCCATATGGTCGATGTCCTTCTTCCAACATGGCAGCCACACCAAACCCACCGTCCAGCATGGAGAGTGGAGATACCATCACCCTGTCTTAGACATAACATTGGCTTCCTCCTACTCCTATGGCTGCAAAGACCTTAGAGTTTTTCACTTTAGAGCCTTGCAAAGACCCAGGCTGCCAGAGAGAAACAAGGGTAGATGGCCCAAAGGCCAAGGCACTCACTGCACTGAGGGGCCTCTGGCACCTCTAGCCATAGGAGCAGTTTCCATCTCACCCATTTCCCCTTTGTCATGCATTTGGAAATAGAAACTCCTTGTGCACAATGGAATAATGTGGTTGTTATTCCTTAGCTGGAATAAGCCCCATGCAGGCAGTTCCTCTTTCATGGATAGACACCCTGAGTCATCGGCACATCCAAGCCTGCAGTTCTAGAAGGGCTGACATGGGGACAAGGGATCAGACTTGTTTTTGACCTATCTGTCATTTTGAAGGCTGAGGATGGTGCTGGTGCACAGAGGCTGCCCCAGTCTTCTGAATCATCAGTTGAACATGCCATTCCCTTGGTACCTTGCCTCCCCTTCCAGTGCAGTGGCCTGGTGGTGGTCTTTTGGGAATCTTTTCAAGGAGGGTTGCCTTACCCTGCACTTCTCCCTCACAGTCAAAGGTTTGGGCAATGGGGTCTGGAGAATACAATCAAATGATGTGCTTTGAAGGACAATGTGGTGTCTAGAGCACTGGGTCTAGAGTTGGAGTTCAAGTCCTAGCTAGCTCTTCCATCTCTTAGCTGTCTGACCTTGGGCAAGTCTCCTCTCTGATCCTTGCTTTCCTCTTCTGTAAATGAGGGGTTCAAATAAAATGATCTCTGAGGTTGAGTGTTAAATTATACTTCCTCCTTCCCAAACTTGAAACTCTTATTTTCAAGACCCCCAAGTCCCAGCACTTGGTGCCTTGGTGCCCTGAAACTGTCCTCATCTAATTGCTCTAAAAATTCCTGGTAGAATGTTAGCTCCTTGAAGGCAGCAAAAACAGTTTTCCTTTAAATCCCAGAACCTAGGACAGCGCCTGGCAACTAGGAGGCACATCACTAATGCTTGTTGACTGTTTGAGAGAATCATATTGTGGGGGGCCATCTTATCACACATGAGACCTTAGAAATTCTGGAGTCAAATGGGTCTCCCCTCTTGGTGTGGAAAGCCCTCCCTTCACAGCCCCCCGCAACAGGCTATCCAGCCGGGACTTGGGCACTCCAGTGAATCTCTGGGGCTCCCAATGCAGACCAACCCTTTTGGGAAATTCTCATTGCTCAGGAAGCTCTAGGAACCAGAGTTAGGAGGTCATAGAGGTAAATACAACTCCCTTTTTTTTTAAATATGAGGAAACAGAATAAAAATAATTTTTTTACAAAGAAAAATGCCTCTGGATCTAATAGACACCACAGCTTTAAGTCAAGTCTCCTTTTCTCTTCTGCCACATATGTGGAAATGCTCATTTTATTTGGTGCTTTTTCAGATGAGAATAAAAATAAATTTTAAAAAATGACAAAATGGAAGCCCCCACAGGGAAAGTTATGTGTCTGGAATAGCTCTTATGTAGCAAGACCAGGATCTAAACCCACGTCTCCTGCCTTGAAATCCAGAAATTCAGGGCTCTTTGTGCTCCAGCTCAGCCAGCCTTTCTGGGGAGTCCAGATCTGCCTCCTTATAACTACCTTCTACCCATTTAGTCCCCCTTCTCTTTTGCTGTGCTGCTGAGAACCCATCCAATCCCTTTAGCCTGTATCAGCCCTTCCAAGATCTGCATAACAGCCAAAAAACGAGTGGTGAAAGCAAGAGCTGACTGAGAGCTGGCAGCACATACAGCTGTGTCCCTCCCTCTGGCAGCCTTGCTGCCCCCAGGTGTGGCTATGTCACCGCCTCCCCAGAACACAGAAAAGGAGAAGGCAATGGTGGGGAAGGGAGCAGGAAGTGGGGAACCAGGGAGAATGGGTCAGCTACATGCTGAGCTCTGTGGAAGGTCTCTGCACATGGACTGACTAGATTTCCTCTCAGATTTCTGGATCCTGGGGCTGTAAGGACTCTCTGTGGTAGTTGCTAGGAAGACATTGGAGTCTAGGAGCCCCTGACTCAGAGGGACACAGCTTTCAGTCCCTGACTCAGAGGGAGAGAGCTAGCCCCCAGCACCTGACTCAGAACCCCAACTCGGAAGGAGAGAGATAGCCACCAGTGCCTGACTCAGAAGGAGAGAGATAGCCCTGATCCTCATTAACAGTTGGGCAGTTCTCTGCTCTGTAATCCAGGCTCCCCGCCCCCCCAGCTGCATCCAGATCAGATGTGGCCCTAGAGCTGGAAGAGTCTTAGAGCTCATGATTTGACTCACTGATTTGACTGAGGAAACAGAGGCCCTCTGGCCAAGATGTCTGAGGTGAGAAGGAAGGATGGGAAGGAGGCTGGGATTCCTGAGCCCTGCCCCATTTCCCTCAGTTTGTGATCTCTCCTTCTTCCCTTCCAGGCCTTTCAGTCTCCACTTCCTAGGATAAATATCTCTTTCCTGATCCAGGCATTGGGGACTGAATGTGTTGTGGTAGTGGTAGTGAGGTGGTGGTGTTTTAGGGGAGTCAGGAAAAGGTAAAGCTTGCCTTGAAGGAATGGAAATGCTTTAGTAGTGGGGCATGCTGAGAGAGAGGTGCCTTCCCTGTCCTCACCCCGTTCACTCACTCATTCATTCTCAGCCAGCCAGCCATTGTGTGAGGCAGGATACTGGGTAAAGTGACCTCCCTCTCTAAGGCTTGCCAGGATATTGTGTGTCTCCAACTTCTGGTTATAAGGGGCATTTGGCTCCCCTATGCCCATATTTAATGGAACTTTTACACCAGCCCATAGTTAGACATGCCTTACTCCCATCCCTCCCTTATATAAAGAGATCCACTTAGTGAGCTCCAGGAGTCGGTATCCCACTGTTTGCCCCCTTTGGAAACCGATTCCCTGTTCCCGGACCCCCACCCCATCCCTACTCTGGGCGCCTGAGTCTAGCGGAAAGGGAGTCTCACTTGGGATAACTGGGGGGGGGGGGTGGATCATAGGATGTCAAGATTTAGAGCCGAGGTGATGTTAGAAGCCCCTCAGTTCCATCCCCATCACTGTACAGATGAGGAAACTGAGGTTCAGAGGGCGAAAGTGATTGGCCCAGGGCTAGTAAGAGTTAGCAAGCCGGAGGTCCTCTGACACCCAATCCATCACTCCCCCCGCCCCAGGCTGTTTGGATCCTGGCCCCGAGATCCGGGGTGGGGAGGGAAGAATAGGCAAGGGAGGAGGGAGAGGATACTCACTTGTGGTGTTGTATTTGATGCCGTTGAAGAACTCGGGGCAGGGTCTTTCCACGTAGGCCCCAGCGGCGCTGCGGGGCCAGCACGTCCCAATCTGGTCAGTGGTGGCATTGCAGTAGGGACCTGGAGCGGGACAGAGGAGGGCTGGCTGAGGAGCGCTGAGGCCGCCGAGCCGACAGTGAATCTGGGGCTCCGTACCCCAGGGCTGTCCCATCCCGGGGCCCCACAACAGCAGCGCACCTACCCTGCGGGTCCAAGAGCGGCGGTCCCCAGCTGTCAGGCAGCGGGTCCCGCAGCAGCAGCAGCAGCCCGCTGCAGTTGGCATCCAGCTCATCCGGCCACTGAGGGAAAAGCGGGAAGTCCATAGTGGGGGACTGGGGGCTGGCGTCTCTGTGTGCGAGTGTGACACCCAGAACGTGTGTGTGTGTGTGTGTGTGTGTGTGTGTGTGTGTGTGTGTGTGCAGAGAGAGAGAGAGATGGAGAGAGAGAGAGAGAGATGGAGAGAGAGAGAGAGATATGGAGAGAGAGAGAGAGAGATGGAGAGAGAGAGAGAGATGGAGAGAGAGATGGAGAGAGAGAGAGAGGGAGAGAGAGAGGGAGAGAGAGAGAGAGAAGGTGGAGGAAAGACAGACAGACAGACGGAGACAGAGACCCAAAGAGTGTGGGTGTGTGTAGGTGTCGGTGCGGGGTGACTTTGTGAGTGTGGATGTGCGCGTCTCTGCCTCGGTGCCTGCCCCGCTCGCCTCCTGCTTTTCTTTCCCGTCCTCCTTCCCCGGCTCCTCCCGCCTGCTCTTGCAGCTCTGAGGGTACAGCCCGAAGGGAAGTCAGTGCGCACCGAGTGCTGGGCTGGGCGGGAGTCCCGACTCGGGCTACTGGCTGGGCTGGAAGTCTGGGAGTCCACGGCGCTCCTGGCTGGAAGCGGTGGTGCCCCGGTCGCCAATAGCAGGCAGGGCTGGGCTGGGCTGGGGTTTGCGGGAGGAGAGAGGGCGGGGCCGAGAGGAGGGAAGTGGGGACCTAGAGAGGAGGAAAGCAGGGTCGGGGCTCCTCTAGGAGCCGAGTGTCTGGTTCCCAGTCTCCCGTGCCCAGGTTCGCAGCCTGCGCTTCCTCCGCCTCTGCAGCCTCTCACTCCGCCCCTCTCCTCCCTCCTCCTCTCCTCCTTTCCGGACTGTGGGGCCTCAATGATGCTCAGTGTGTGTGTGTGTGTGTGTGTGTGTGTGTGTGTGTGTGTGTGTGTGTCCGCCAGGGATGCAGGGGGAAGACGGAGGAACTATAGGGAGAAAGGGACAATCACTCTGGCAGAAGGGCATGGTATGACAGTCAGGCCAGGGTTATCGTTATGGGCAGGGCCAGGTATCTGGGGTTCCATCGTGCCTGGAGATCCCGGTGAGCCCCTGACTGCTCCCTTCTCTTCCACCCTGCCCCCAGTTTCTGGGGATCCAGCAGTCTTGTCCTCCTTTGCAGATTCTCCCTGAGTCCTTTTCTCCTAACCTGAGATGTGGGAGATGGGAAGGTAAGAAGGCCTGGGCCAGGAGACCTTTGGAAGGCAGGGTAAGGCCAGCCAGCCTTGACTCCCAGGTCCTTTCCTGTCTGGTTGAGTGCTAAGAGCAGAAGGGGCCCAAAGGTGCCCTTGGTGGGATCAGAGGGAGGAAGAAACCACAAAGTCTTGGCATTCAATTGCCAAACTGGAGCATGGCAAGAGGAAGGGATGCAGGATGGGGGTGGGTTTGGAGCCAAGCCATGTGAGTACTGGTGGAAGGGAGTGGAAGCCCACACTAGGGGCTAGGAGTCACTTGCTGAGGAGAGAAGAGAAGAGGAGAGGAGGGGAGGGGAGGGGGAGAGGGGGGGGGGGGGGGGGAGGGGAGGGGAGGGGAGGGGAGGGGAGGGGGGAGGAGAGGAGGCTAAGCCTTGGAGGAATCTGATAATTTCCCTTCCCTGAGGATTTGGAAGGCAGTCATTTGGAAGAGGGCTCAGACTCAGCTCCGTGGTGTTGTCCCCAGAGGGCAGAATCAGACCCGAGGGTGTAAAGTGACTGAGGTTTGGATTCCATGTAAGGAAAAACTTCTTGACAATTAAAGTTGTCTAAAAATGGAAAGGGTTGCTTGGGGAGGGAGTGTTTTCCACAGCACTGGAAGCATTCTAGCAGAGGTTAGATGATGGGTCCATGAGAGGATACAGACGTCAAAGTCGATGCGTTTCAAGTCCATTCCTGCTCAAAGATTCTATGGAGTGGTCTGACCCAATGCAGAAATCTCCTAGATGCCCACCTGGACATGGAGTCTTGACTTTTGCTTGGAGAGCAAGCTTTGAAGAGCAGAGGCTAATACTTGAAGGAATATTGGACCTGGAGAGTCTTGGTGAAATGACCAGAGAAGACCACTCAATCTCATCTTTCTTGATCTGTAAAACGGGGATAATAATAACCTATAATACCTACCTCCTCCACTAAAGTCTTTCTCTGGTGTGGCAGCATGCCAGGGAGGTGGTCTTGGATGCTCAAAGGCCAAGTGAGTGGAAATTAAGTTCTTACAGGTCTTGCCCAGTGGGCAGGGCTGGAATTCAGGTCCAGGGATGGACGGAGTCTGTTGGCCAAGGACCAGCTCAGCTCACATTGGGCAGGGGGATGGGTGAATATTTGAGCCCCAGCCACCTCTGGAGGTAGACTTTTCCTGAGTGACAAAGGGAACCCCACACCACCCAGTGGGACCCCAGAGCTTGAAATGTAGAGGCATACACGCCTCCTTCACAGCATTGAGGGGATGGTCAAATGATGCTGTGCTAGGAAAAAAAACACTATTATGATTGCATACTTCCAGTGACCGAGAGTTCACTAATGCATGAAGTAACCTCTCCATTGCTGGTTCTTTCCATCTGCCCTTTCTTCCTGAGTCAGAACCTGCTGCATCAGGGGTATTGTCCATCCCGTTTGCCTTCCAGAGTTTCAGAGTTCTCCAACTCCTTGAAAGTGGCTCTTAGGCTTCTTTATCTCTCTCTCTGTCTCTCTGTCTGGCTCTGTGTGTGTGTGTGTGTGTCTCTCTCTCTTCTCCCTCTTTCTCTTCTCTCTCTCCTCTCTCTCTCTCTTTCCCATTCACTGACAAGGTGGATCATGGAAAGAGTGCTGGGCTTAGTAGAGACCTGGGTTCGAGTGTCACCTCCAACAGTTGCTAGGTGTATGGCCACAGAAACAAATCATACAATTTAACCTTGCTAAGCCTCAGTTTCCTCATTTGTGAAATGAGAATAATAAGATTTTATTATCTCACTCTGCACTAAAATCCAACTCTGGTACCTCATGATATCAGAGTGCAAGCTCTGAAAAATTCTATAGAGCTGGAAATGTTTTGAGACAGATACAAGACAGACACACAATTACCTGAGGACTAGCTAAAGGAGTTTGAGAGAGGCTCATTCCTTTCCCATCATGAGATTTTGCAGGGGAGTTGTTTTTGTTTTGTTTCATTTGGTTTTGGCACTGCCATTCATACAGACTCTCTCCCCAAGGGCAGCAAATTTCACCTGGTACCATATGTAAAAAACCCCAGGTCTCTGATGCGTCTGCCCCGTGGGGCTCTTCCATGGGTTCAATGAGACAAGGTTTGCACACAAAGGGCTCTCTAATAGGAATCATCACATAGCAGAATGTCCCAGATGAGTAAACCAAGGCCCAGGGAGATAAAAAATCATAGAGTTGGAGCTGAAAGGGACCATAGGGACCATCTAAGTCAGGAGTTCTTGTGCTACAGACCTCATTGATAGACTGTTGAAGCCTATGGACCTCTTCTCAGAAGAATGTTGCCCAGATTTATAATGGAAGGAAAGACTGTATCTTTCACTAAGAGATCAGTGAAAATAAAGATAATTTTTTCCCATCCAAATTCATTGACTACCTGAAATCTATCCATGGACCAATTGGGGGTCCAGAGAATCCAGGTTAAGACATCTGAGGACAAACCCCTTCTCTCACAGAAAGAGAAACTGAGGCCTAAGGAGGTCAGTGACTAGATTTAGAGCTTAAAGGGGCCTCAGGGAGTCTCTGACCAACCACCTTGTTTACAGATGAGGAAACTGAGGCCTAGGGAGGTTAAGAATAATAGATTTGGACTCAAAGTGGTCATATAGCTCCATCTATCCCCAACACAAATTCCATACATAACATCATCTAGTAGTGGCTACTAGCTTCCACTTGAAGATCTCCAATGGCAGGAAGCTCTCTAATCTTGAAGAAGGCCACCCCATTATTGGAGAGGTGCAATGGTTAGGAAATTCTTTGGCATACAGAGCTAGAATATGCCTCCCTATGACTTCTACCTGTTGCATTAGTCTCTCACTTTATGGCAAAGTAGGACAAATCTATCCCTTTCAAAGGGTATCCCTTCAAACATCTGAAGGCACTTATGCCCTCCTGAGCCTCTTCTTCTCCAGATCAAGTTCCCTACATATCATCTTGTTCCTTTTTCTGCAAATGTTCCTCAGGTCCCTTTTGAAATGTAATGTGAAAAGTGCTGGAGACTGCTCCAGATGTGAACTGACCTGTAGGAGAATTATTGCTTTGTTATACCTGCTCTCAGAGCAGTGGTGATGGTCTCAGAACAAGTGCCACTTAGGACATGCACCCAAAGCTGTCCCTGAAAGAAGGGACTACCAGAGAAGAGACAGGGAAGGAAGGAACAGTCAAGGAAGGGGCACCCTGACACACTTTCATTCTGGCAATAGGTGTAACCCAGCCCATTAGCACACTGTAAATAGCACACAGAACACGTGGACATCAGGAAAACTTTTCCTTGGGAAACCCCAAAAGCAGGGTTGGCCTTCCAAGAGCCTCAGCCGATACCTACTCTAATTCTGGGAGCAATTCTAACCACTTAAAGGCACCAAAGTCAGCCAGCCTGATCAAATCTATCAAGACGTCTGCATATCACCCTTTGTCATACAATAGTGTAGACTCATCTCAGGGTCCTCAGATGGTTCTTACCTCTGGCCATGGTGATGACCACTTCTGTAACTAAACTAACATTGTCCATTCCTACCTTACCTGACTGAAAGTTGCTCAGTGGTGAGCTCTTTTCCACCAAAAGAACTATTCATTACAGACCATTACTTCCCCATCTTCCCAGCATAAGCGCCTT